AGAAGCTGACAGACTCATCTCTCACTACTCCTCCATTAGTCCATGTGGCCACCCAGATCAAAAAATGTAAAAGATGAACACTGTTTTTGCCACTGAAAGGCTCAACTTGTAATTATAAATGTTTGACAAATTATGGAAAGGACCCCACAGAGACATAACAATGTTTCCCTTACCTTTTGCTTGGTCCAGTAAAATTAATATTAATACAGGTAATTGCATTTACTACAGGTAAAGGATTTGAGTTGTCCCTTCATATTGTTGGAAACATTTCTCTGCTCTACTTGTTTGCACAGCATGCAAGGCAATCTAGTTAGAGCAGCAATAAATTATATCTTTGTATGAATTGAATGTATTTTATGTTTGCTTTTGTTTATGTGAAGTCATTTGGTGGGTGATTAATTGAGATTTAATGTATTTATGATTAAATTCAAAGTGATGTTACATCCCAAGGACAATTTCTTATTGTTGTACATATTTTCTCTTTTAATATACACATGACACTTTAATAATACACTTGTTTTAACATACTCTTATTTGTTTGTTTGTTTACCATATTTTATTGTACATTTTTAATTTTTACATTATGTATTTTACACCAAATCACCCAGCCAAATTCCTTGTATGTGTAACGTACTTGACAATAAACAGTTTATGATTCTGATTCTGATACTAGCCCACATATTTCACTTCAAGAACTCAGAATTTTTACTTAATATAACATAATGTTGAATTGGGTCACAGGATCATTGTTTTTCAGACTCGGACCTTTTAGAATGATCTCTGTCAGGACTCGCATACCAACTGTGTGTGTTCAGGAAACACCAAGGAGAGTCCTGCGCTCCCAGTGGTTATACGTGACACCTGGATTAGCACATCAGTTGCTTGGCAAATCCCCAAACTAGTTTTCCTTGCAGAGTAAAGCTGGCAGCTGGTTGAGTCAGCATCGATGCAGAATCGATGTTGGAGGGTTTTAAAACCCACGTATTCTCCACAATTATTTCCTTATGGACTTAATAGGACTGTCTACCCGAACGCACAAATATAGAGGAAGTAGAGAGGGTGGGAGGGGTTTTGAATTGGTGATTTATTTATTTCCTAGTGTAGCCGAAACTTACGCCTTTCCAAAATAATAACACGGATAGGAATCCGTATTCTGCACCAAGATGGCAACAACTGTATTCCTCCAACATGGGGTACATCCCAAGTCTCTTAATTGGCATTTCCTCACTCCTCGATCCTCGCTTGAACCGGAAGTTGTTTCTGCGCCGCCATATTGACGGCCGTCCCAAAGCTCTAAAGTAGCTCGGAGGAGCGAGGATCGAGGATGGAGGAGGGACCTCGGAGGAGCCATGAGCGAGGACCCACGAGAACAGACTTCCAGGAAGTCTTTTAATGGCCGACACGCCCCCTCATTGTTCATCAGTCATGTGATTGGACGCTGCAGCCGATCGGGCTGACTGACTGGAGTTTAACACCAGAGTGAAGACAGATCACAGAATAAACTCTAGTTTATATTTGATTAGGTTTCTGATTCACCGTCTGGTTTAAATAAATGTTCATTGTAGTCTGAACAAAACGACCACAAACAACTTTCTTCATTTGTTAGAAAGATTTGTGTTTTCATGATCTGATGTTTCCCTCAATAACTTTTATTATGAATACAATTAAAGTCAGAGAGAGCTGGAGAGACAAAACACTTTTTACATCATTCCTGAGTGTTTGATGAGTTTTATCATTTAAGAGAAACAATAATCATATTCTGGGTTATTTAATAATGACGCCACAGTCACAATTTCAAAACATAGAGACGCAAATAATTCATAAATAAGACGATTGCATTCCGCCGGTAGAAATGGATCCTGCGCTTATAAACAGAACACAGGACACAGTTTGTTAACAGACTACAGAGAGAAAACGCCTCTACAGTGGTGATTACTGTGTCTTTATTATTTATTAGTGTTATTAGTTACTATTATTAAGTACAGTGATCATGTGAACAGACGCAAACGTATCAAAAGTCTCTCCAGCTGTTAAAGCCGACTGACAGCTGATCCAGCTGTGATCAGCTGATCCTCCGTCATCAGAAACAGATGTCGCTTCACCTGACGCAACTGAGGAAGGGACGTCTCATGTCTCTTAAAACATAATTCCTCGTTTCCTCTCTCCTCGCATGGTTTCCTCCATGCATCCCTGGTGGGAGGGACTAAGACGCAAGGAAAGGACGCAAGTGAGGGAAACGGGGATGCAATTAAGAGACTTGGGATGTACCCCTAGTCATCAGCACCGCATCACGGTTTTTCATTCCTTCAGTTATAGCCTTCACAATAAAAGCCCCGAACAGACACACTGGAACACTGTTTCCCAGAGGGGATTTAAATTTACTTAGGCCCAATGCCATTGCCCCCCCTAAAGTCATAAACCCTGAACCCTGGGGGACTTACCTGACGTCACCTGTCAAATGGTTGAGTGAGAGGCTCAAAAGGCTTGAACTGGTGTAACGAATGGGACAGCACTTTGCTGTGACATATCACGTTACCATGATGACGTCATAACATGCTATGTTCAATTGTGAGTATTTATTTTATACGTTTTACTGCCTGATTTCAATGTTTTCCAGGCTGACCTCACGCAATGAGAGGTTGTCCAATAATCCATTTACTTGTTTTTGTCAAAACAGCTTGAATAACAAAATGAAATGTTTGATGAATAAAGCTGTGTAATGAAGTCTGCTTGCATTCCTCTGCTTTAATGTGTTTTCTGTACGATCTTTTGTCATTACTGTTTATGTGTAGATCTGTCCCGGTTTTATATCACAGGCTTCGACGCTTCCACAGAAATGCAGAATTACGGAAAGTGTTCATAAATGACTCAAAATGTCTGCACGGGAGCTCTCAAACGCTCGATGATTTGACAGTGGGGCCTTCTAAAAACGAGTTTTATTTTGAAACTCTTTACAGGAAGAACTTATTCTAGTCGTCGGCCATCTATTTGCCCCAGGAAGGACTGTTAACCCGAGTCAGTTATATTTCATTCAGAACCGGCTATGGCTGTGAATGCGAATGCTAAAATAGTTATTATAGGATGCGGGATAGCAGGTATAGCAGCGGCGCACCGGCTCGTTAACGCTGGATTCCATCACGTGCGCATACTTGAAGCGACTGCGAGAAGCGGAGGAAGAATAAAAACTGGAAGACTGGGTGAGCGACAATATGACAACTATTTAAAACTTTGACAGCAGATTATTTTTTTTGTCGGTTTTTGCAATTCACCAAAATATATTTTCCTGCAAAGTCTTAAAGGTAACAGTGTTATGTTATGTTATGGTATTTCCATTGCCTCGCAGGAAGTTTTGCAGAATCTCGCAATACGTTTTATTCTTTCTGATCCAAAGAGCAAAACTGAGCTCTGACAGGAGCATGCAGAAAAATAGAAACTGCTATAGGCCTACCACTAAAACTATTTTCAATCTGATTTTTGGGACCTTGCAGATTCAAGTATTCTTTCACCTAATTAAAAAATGTTTTGTTCTTTCTGGACTTTGACCAGACCTAACTCTGTCTGCTGTAAATCATGGACTAACTGATAAGTAGAAGAGATGATTATGTTAGGGTTTTACCCTATCATAAACGAACAGCAATAAAATTGCTGTCAAGGCACAAAAACAAAACGGTATATAACATGTTCCTTTCTTTTCTGCAACCGCACATTATTTTCCATCTGCAGGTGATAATATTGTTGAGATAGGAGCTAACTGGATCCATGGACCGTGCGAGGAGAACCCTGTGTTTTGTCTGGCCCGTAAGTACAGGCTCCTGGATCCAGAGGCCCTCACCCCAGAGAACCAGGCCATGGACGTCGGAGGACATCCCCCCTTTGTTCCCAACATTTTCTGCAGTTCAGGTCAAGTCAATTTCATTTTTATTGCCCAATATCACAAGTTTTGTATAAATCTGCATATGTAAATCTGCATAAGCTTATTTAAACAACAACTGGAATGATAAGGTACGGTATAAAAACCCAACAAAAAATATGTATATATAATATTTATTGGCATATGTAACCAGCGTGTCATTGATTAATTACTGCTGTGTGAGAGTGTAACCTGGTGATATTTTACTAATTAGTATTCTGTGTGTTGTGTTAACGTCTTCAGGTCGGAAGCTGAATGCTGACGACATTTATTATGCTCAGAAAATGTTTGCTGAGTTGCTGAAGGAAAGTTCAGAATTTGAGAGTCAAGGAGGAGAACCCTGGGCCTGTGTGGGAGATTTCATCCGGTCAGAGGTATACATTTCTCTCAGTGACTAAAATAACAATACGGGGGGGGTGTTAACTACCAATATCTGAGCTATTCCAGCTCACATGGTGATAATAAACAAAATAAATTGACTGCATCTTGTAAGAATTAACAGTTTGTCTTGTTGTCTGGTGCAGGTTCAACAGCGAGCAGCAGAGAAGTGGAAAGATATTGATGCAACCACCAGATCTCTGCGACTGTGCATGATCAGTAACATGTTGAAGTTTGAGTGCTCTATTAATGGGGCTCACAGCATGGATGAGGTGGGCCTGGGGGCCTATGGCCTATATAAAACTCTTCCTGGACTGGACTGTACATTCCCTGGGTTCGTACTCCAACATCGCATACATGTAGTGGAGCAACTAACAAATATTTAAAAAAATCTATTTCATTAAATCATTATTTTCTTCATTTTCATATTGATCATCTTATTTATAAAAGTGGCAACCTCCATGGGTCAATGCCGGCCCACCAGACTCTCGCCGGCTAGCTTCCCTCCCAGGTTTGGCTGCAGGAGGGGGGCCTCGCAGAGCATATTAGCAGTACATTATTCTGTTAATCAACTGTCTCAGCACACGTGCATGTCCGATTGACTTAAACATAATTGTCTTTCTCAGTGGCTATGAAGGTCTGGTCAAAAACTTGATGTCGGAGCTCCCCAGTGGTTTAGTAACCTACAATCAGCCTGCTCGCTGTGTCCACTGGAACAACACCGAGAAGAGAGAAAACCATCTGACGATCGAGTGTGATGAGGAGAGGATCGCTGCTGATCATGTTATTGTCACAGTACCTCTAGGTAGAATCCGACACGTACATTCACAAACAAATTTTTCTGTTTTCCACCGAAGTGCATGAAATGTTGCTATCTTGCTACAACTCAGACATTTTTAACCACTTATGTCAAGATCACATGTTACTTGGTATTACATTTGTCAACAAATATTAGTAAATGTGTTTGTAAAAAAACATTTTAGTTTCTAGTTTTAATATAAAGATTTCAATTACAGAAGATTTGATCACAGTTAAATATAATATACTGTTTACGGTGACTTTTGATGTGGTAAATAATAAAATGTACATTTCTAGTGTAGTTTTAAGCTGAGGTTAGATTTAAGCTATTAAGTACTGAACAAAACCTAACTTGTTCTGTTTGTTCAGGATACCTAAAGAAGCACCATTCAGCCCTGTTCCATCCTCCTCTCCCTCTACACAAGCTGCACTCCGTCCAGAGACTAGGTTTTGGAACAACCAATAAGATATTTGTGGAGTTTGATTCACCGTGGTGGGATGCTGACTGTGAGGTCATCTATCTTGTGTGGGAAGATGAGGTGAGACGTCAACAAATAAAGGTGTACACGTACTATAAAGTGTGTGCGTACACACTGGATTCCATTACATAATAACAATAGTAGCCTATGCAAAGAATATTTTAATTATTTAGGCATTCAAAGGAAGAGGAATCACCAAGGCTTGTTGAAACACTTCAACCTTTAACACAGACAGAGACAAATGATCAACATTTAAGAGGGAGAAACGCCAGCCAAGCACTGTGTGCCCTGTAATGTCCACCAAGCACCGCTCCCCACAAACGAGTGCAGGCCGACATCTCTGCCCACTCAACCCTTCAGTCAGTCACATAGTTCTCCACAGCTGCCGGCAGCGACTTGCTCTAATCAGATTCTGAAGTCCCCCTCCCTGGCAAACAGTTTGTCCCGTAACAATACTTCATGCTGCAACTATGTTTAAATATTTTTGATTTAGTAGGAATAAACTAGATGTACATCTGACTTTAAGATGTCTCACTGTTGTATATCTTAAAATCCAATTAGTCTTGCCCCGTTAAGATACAAACTACTGCTTGCATCATTTCCTCAGCTTCTTCCTCTCTCTCTCTCTCTCTCTCTGTCTCTCTCTCTCTCTCTCTCTCTCTCTCTCTTTTCCTGCTTTCCATTTGGCCAGCATGACTCCTCGCTTACCTCAGTCACATCTCATTCTCATCTTTTTCTAAAATGTGTTTATAAGAGAAAAACTGAACAGCCTTGAAAATAGAAAGCAATAGAAATGATTTAATCTTCGTATCATTAGAAATTCCTTGCCCTCCATCATCCATCATAACCCAGCATGAGGGGTTGTTTGACCAGCAGGTTTAACACATCTTGTGTCGTGTTCCAACGTCAAATCCCCAATACAGGATTACTCTTCACAACCATACCATGTTGTCTTATTCTCCGCGCACAAATGTCCCAAAATGTTTGATGTTTGTGCCACGACAGTAGTTCACAAAATGTCTAGCATATGCAAACATTTGAACTGTCTGTTTAATCTCTTGGCATGATTCAGGATGTCATGGTGGACCAGGTGCCAGATGTACAGCGGTCCTGGATAAGGAAGTTGTGTGCCTTCACTCTACTCAAACCCACTGAAAGGTCGACAACCACAAATGCTGAAGCTTGCCTGCGTTGTTCTTGTTGTATTCAATAGAAAATATCTGGTAAATACATTGATTGTGAATACAGTCGTGTTATGGTTTAACTTTCAGGTATGGCCATGTCCTGTGTGGTTGGATTGCTGGACACGAGTCCGAGTATATGGAGACACTGTCTGAACAAGAGGTCACATACACCGTCACCCAACTCATCCGCAGATTTACAGGTGATGCTAAATAC